ACATCTGTGTACTGGAAAGGAATCCTTATTCCACATAGATTTTACAATTACTGTAAACACGTAAGAAAATAAGAACTTCAAAGCAAATCGGTATGAAACCTGTTTTAAGCAACCATTTGCAGAAACTACCACTGAGTTCACATGAAACACGTAACAACTACAATATATGCTTACAAGAAAATATGGCCCATTATGATTGAAAAAGGTCACACTGATCTCTATTTATGAAGAAGTCAGCTTCAAGGTCTTCACTGGCTCAATTTATTAGTCACAGCACCTTTCTGAGTAGGACTTCCAAAATGACATCCACCTAGACTGCAGTGAAAATCTGTGTCTTCTACAGAGAAATGCTTGTCTCCAGACAGCAATTCTGAGTATCTGATAAAATCTACAGGTTCATTACCTACCCTGCTTTCTGCTCCTGCATTATCTCTCAATTTCATCCAGTGTAATAAAGTACTGTGGAAAGAGAATACAGTGTGGCTTGACAAAAGAGGTCTGCTGAGGCTAGCTACTGAAGATAATGCAGGTAATGCAGACCTTAGGATGCATGTCATTGTAGTTGAGGACATTTATGATAAGCCATTTAGAGCAAAAAAGATGTTAATTTTAGTGTAGCCATGTCCTTAGTCCCAGGAAAATTCCCAAAGCAACAAAGTGCAGTTACTAAAACCAGCAAAATTCTTGGTATTAATGAGGATTTCTTTCTTCATGGGATGATATAAAGAGATCTAAACTTTTGTCATTTAAAATTAAAGTTTTCATAAAGGAACTACCATGAAAATTGACACAGTCTTAGGCAAAAATAGTTACCCCTCCTGGAATAATTCAAGTCTCAGTGTTTTAACTGATGCTTTACTACAGCTTTTTTTTGTGTGTGTGTGACAGTGAAATTACAAGGATAGCAAATTAGCTGCAAGAGGGTAATCCAGTCAGGTAGAGACAATAATGATGAGTGAGGAACTTAAGGACTTCAGAGGCTATATGTAAAAATAACATTTGAAATGGAGTTAATTACATCCATGTATTATTAGTTCAAATATTGTGGTCATAAATCTGATTTAGAAACATGTTTTCATGTTGCATGCAACATAAAAATATACATCTAGGTTGTGTTGTTAAATCTGTATGAGATTCATTACTGATTTTACAGCACATGACTGTAGGTGAAGCAGAAAGCATGACGTATTTGCTTTCCAATACAGGTATAGGTGATCTGCCAGTGCAAACAACTAAATACTGTTCCTAGCCTTCCAGTTGGGATGACATTCCACCTAAAATCCTCAGCACAAGTACCCTCTTATTTGGAATTACTGAGTAAGATTGCTATACTTTTCAGCATTTACTCATTGCTTCATGTATAATTGAAGTAGTTTAGGACTTAAATGTATTTCACCTTGTCCTGAGGAAAAGGTTGTGTAAATAGAGCAAATGCTGTTCCACAGTGATTCAGCTGATTCCGAAGGAGATTCCAAATCATGTGGCTCTGAAAGCTTTAGAAATAAGGCATCCCCAGGATGTGGGGGTTTATTGCAGTTATTAGTGCATTCTAAAATAGTTCATGAAATAGTTCATAAATTTTGACATCCTTGTAAGACTGATAAGAGTTCTGGTTTCAGGGTCACAATAAAAGATGTTCATAGTCCATCCTGTTTCATTTACCACCCTTCATGCTTCTTTGAGCCGAATCCATTTTGAAAGCACTATCTGCCACATGGAAGAAACAAGAATAAGAATTTTCATATTTATGAACATGAAAATACATGGAATCATGACAGCATACCTAAAGTTATGTGACTTCATTAGAAGAATTTTGAGGAGAATAAAAACAAGCAGAAGCATCTTTTATATTTTTTTCTATGACCAAACTTACTTCCCTGAACTCCAATATGTGACTGAGAAGGCTGCTTGTTATTGTCCTGCAGCAGAGGACAGCACTGTACCCTGAGGAAGACCTGCTTTCCTGGTAGACCTGTGAGATGTTGTGTCACTGCAGCAGAAATCTGAGCAGTGTTCACACAGAGGTTGGCAGTGAGCTGACCTGGGATCCCCCTCTGGCACAGAGAAGACTGTGGCCTCCAGGCTCAGCTTGAAGAAGCGGTATGAGCAGGGAGTCTGGAAACCTGGTTACTAACACTCATCCAGATGTTAAACAGTGTTGTTAGGGGGGTGAAGTGCCATCAAGGTATTGGCACCTTTGATTACAGAATTGGGAAAAGCACAGAGATTACTAATGGATTTCTATGGGGACTGCAGGAACACACAGAACACCAGTTCAATTGGAAAAAAATGCTGTCCCGATGGCTGTGACTGTGTCATGTGTGTAGACTGCTCAAATTTCATGGAAATCCCAGGGAGAAATTTTGGTTCATGAGACTGGACAGGCTCCACTGATACTCCACGGTTTGACATATCGTGTCCCTTACTTCCCAGCTACTGCTCCAGCTGGGCTTGAAATCACACCGCACACGCTGGTGCTAGTGAGCTGTGGGGCAAGATGTTATGGATTTCTAACTATACAAGAGTCACTAGTAGAAATCACATGCTCATCCATGGTCAGCCACACCAAGGCTAGCAGTTCAACGACAGTAAGCAGTTTTTCTCCATTGGAGAGCTCCAAGCCTAGCTGACTGCTGTGGAACATTCACCCATATTTTGTGCAGCAGAAAGATCCATCATAAAAAAAAAAACTTTTGGAGTAAAAAAATTAAAATGGTACCCTTTTGATCAACACAAATGTTATTTAACATAGAACACTACTGTTCCCCTGACTTAAGAACGCCTTCTGCAGAGTATGTGAATAAGACATAGAAGCTTTACCTATACCCTAAGAATCTGCAGACCTACAAAAGAAGGTTCATTTGGAAAACTTGATTGGTAGAAGTGAATCCTGAGGATGCATGCTGCCAAAGCCTGACTTTGGGAGACTAAGTGGACTGGAGTGTATGTAAATGGATTTAACAACTAGCTTTTCACCAACTTAATAGGAAGATACATGATTTAGTCACAAAATAAGAAAAGCCCTCTGTTCACACTTTTCTCTAAACACAACTTATAAGAAATATGTTTGACTTTGTATAAGAAATTTATAGAAAGCCTGCTGCATTAATGTTCCTATGTATGTGTATTAGTGCATGGCCACAGTTGTACTTGATGTGTACAAGTTGCTGATCTCATTTTGTTTTTTATTGGCCCGATTTTTCTCTTTCTTATGTAGTGTTTATTTTCATGTTACTTCTGCCTCTCAAGAGAAAAAGGTGCTAAACCCAAGAACTAGAAATGCAAATATTGCAATTTCTTCAAACAATATCCAATACACTTCAGAGAAACCTAAGTGTCAATAAGACGGTATGTTTTTTGTTGTCTGTTATTCTTTTTCAGTCTCTTTCCCCTTCCTTGATTAATATACAACAATATGTCTCTGATAAAAGTGTGCTTCCTTAACTCAAACTACTTCTGACTGATTACATTCTGCATGTTGGGGCAGGCTGTGGGTAAGAAGGCAAATGAATGGCACAGTGAAAGGAAAGGTCAGAAGTGGTAGGTAGCATTCTTCTGTTGCTGTAAAAAGGAATTAAATGGTCCTGGCAGTCTTCCCACTCCTCCCTCCCCTGTGAGTAAGACATTATAATTAAAATGGTTTAATTTACTGTGTTAGATACAAAGGTTCAGTGGCACTGAATGAAAGAATACAGGCTGCTCCAGTGTGGGTACCACTCCAGGCCACAAGTCATACCAGAAAACCTGCTCCTATGTGGGCACCCCATGGGCTGCTGCTTCCTTCAGGGCATGTCCACCTGCTGTGCTGTGTGTTTCTCCATGGGCTGCAGGTGGGTATCTGTTCCACCAGGAACCTCCATGGGCTGCAGGGGCCTCACCAGCTGCAAGGGGAATCTCTGCTCCAGCACCTGGAGCACCTCCTCCTCTTCTTCTCCACTGACCTTGGTGTCTGCAAGGCTTCTTTCTCACTTCTCTCACAGCTGCTGTACAGCATTTCTAACCCCTTCTTAAATACATTACCAGAGAGGTGTCACAAGCGTTGTTGAGGGGCCCGGTTGTGCCTTGCCCTGGGTCTGCTGGAGCTGGTGGTAACTGGCTGTGTCCCACAGCAGCCAGCCCTCTGTGCCCTCAGTCTTGCCATGCAAACCTAAGACCACGTGCTGCAAAAGTTCAGAGGTTTGCTTATCAATAACAGCTTTTAATTTGATTTCAAGCCTAATTGCTACCATTCCAGGAACAGGCTGGACGATAATTGTATTCTTCTTGGATCATCAAAGAAATGCGTTGTGGCTGTTTGGCAGAGCAAGAACTGGGGAGAGTAGGAAGCCTCAGCCCAGTCACTTGGACTAATGTGACCCAGATTTTTCAGTTTGATTCAGCAAATCCCCAAGCCAGAAAAATGGCACGAGAGTCAAGCTCTTTGGAGAAGCCGAATTTGGAAATTCAACCTGGTTTAGTCATTACGCTAATAATAGTTCAGCGATTCTCAAACAGCTGGGAGACAGAGTAACTCCTACCCATGCCCAGCCTGGAGAAAAAAAAAGTTATTCCAAAAATCGTCATGACTACCCCGTTTACACTCCTCGGAGTTCAAGCGGCCAGTCCGTGTGACACCCCCCTATTTCCCTCGAAAGCCGCCGGGACCGCCACCAGGCCCAGGCCG